ACAGATTCTTCGTACGCCGCTCAAGAATTTGGTGCAAGACGGTTTCATAAGGTACCAAAAACAGCATGGACAGTGGTTCAGGCAGTCAAAGATGAACAAGGACAGCCTACATTACAGTCAGTTAACTATGATAGGTCCGGAATATTTAAAAAGCAGCATTCTATGTGAATTTTACTCATTATGTAGCATATCTACCTATTTCTTTTGTCTCCTTTGGTATATTTGGTATCTTTTACTCTCATGCCTTCCTATTGTAGCCAAACTTATTTCGTAATCTTCCTGCAGAATTCATTACGGAGCTCAAAGTAGTCTCTGAGAATTTTTTTCCTTGCTGCGACTGGAATTCTCTCCAAGATTAGGAATTTATCAAAATCAGTTACAAAAGACTATGACATTTTTAGGTTCAGAATTTTGTGCATGCTGCAGTTTATTACATTCATATTGTCCTAAACACGGACATAAATTTGATGTAGTACGCCTCAAACTTAGCCTCTTACGTTACCAACTTCGGTTTCGTGCAACTCCCAACGAAATATTCCGCTGAACTTTAATACACGAAAATGGAAGATACCCTTGCTCTGCATAACAAGTTGATGTATTTCATTTAGTTTTATTATATTTTCCCAGACTCTGAAATTAATTTCGTATACGTTACTCGGTAAGCGGAGAAAAAACTTAATATATCTCGTTCTCGCAGGGAGATTTTGAAAGTTTTTTTTCCAATTATTCAGGGTTCAAGATCAGATATAAAATTTTTCGAGGGAAAAATTTATATTTTTATTAAATAATGATTGCATTACTGAGTGGCGGGAAAGGAGAAACAGGTCTTATATTCGATTAAACTGTCTCAAACTGTTGAAGATTCATAAAATAAAAACATGCTTATCAAATATGGGGTGTCACAAGGAACCATTCTAGATCCCACACTTTTCTTCATCTATATCATGGTGATAGTTATTACACAATTTTCACAAACATTTTAATTTATATCTTTCTCGGTAGAGAAACAATTCAATTTAATTCAAAAACGTTTATTCAAGTTTTGGTCAATTACATTATGTTTGAGATAGTGTTTTGAGAGGGGGGCTGCTATAGGCTCATGCCTCTTCAGGGTTAGGAGATTTTGTGTGTGTCGCTTCATGTTGTGTTGTCTCATGTTGTCGTGTGTTCCTCTTGTTTTTTCGTTGTTCCGTTGGAGTGGTCCGGGTCCGTTGCGTTGGTCAGTTTTTACATCGGTTCAGGTTTTTAGGCCGGGGATGGATGTTGTACGATTTCAGCTCCTTCCAGAACCTAGCTGTCCGCTATCTGATGCCCAGTGGGTACTCTTTCAGGATGTATTGGATCTGCTCCTAATGATCTTCCATTGCTCCCAGGAGTCTTGTTGGGGGAAACGGGAGCTTTTCCTAGGTATCCTTTTGGGTCCTCCACGGGGAGTCCATGGTGTGTTCAGTGTGTTGATGGCATCGGTGTTATTGCTGCTCATCGTTCTTGTCGCGTATCGTCCTTGAAGTTCCTGAAATCGTAGGCCATTTGGTGTAGTATTCACTAAGTTGTATAAGGTTTGAGATGGATAGCATCAAGGGAGGTTTTGGATGTTAAGTAGGATCATTCTCTTGGTCACTAGGATGAGGTCGGATGGTCTCGGGAGAAGCGTACAGTAGATTGTGGGTTTGTTATCTAGAACTGGTCTGATAAACGATTTGTAAGTGTGCAGGAGGGTTTTACTGTCGCATCTCCCGAGCTTGCATCTCAGTGCTTTTAGTAGATTTGCTCTTTTCCGGACTCTGTTCAGAGTTTCTCTCAGGTCGACTTCCCAGTTGAGGGTCCTCGTGAAGGTGAGCCTCAAGTAGGATTCCGAGTCTTGGAGTCTGAGGTTTTCTCCCAAAAGTCTGAGATTCTAGTTATCAGGATTTTGGGTCGAGGAGACGTCGTGGACGTAAATCAGAAATTAAGAGTGAGCAAGGACTGAGCCCTGGAGGACACCTGATTTAGGTGTACGGTAGAGGAACCCATACATACATACAATAAACAACAACAAATAACAGCAACATCAAGTTACGAGTCAGTCTATTCATTGTATCAATAACGTATATGGGATGAGAAGTACCGAAAAACACCCTGATTTGCTGCAATTTTTTCGTGAATCAGTTAGTTGGAATGAATTGAAAACCAAAATTGACAATGGGTGTTACAGTTTTGAAGCAATGGTTTGACCAAAATTCATTAACAATCAACCTGAAAAAACGCAGTCTCTACCTTTCATGTGCAACAAATTAACATTACTGAACTTCAATTCGATTGAAGTAAGCATAGAAGAAATGATTATTCATCAATAATTCCCTGCAAAAAATATCAAATATTCATTCATCAATGGGGCGGGCCGCCCATCTGTAGAGAGGGTGAGTGTAAGCCCACAGCACTCAGGTCACATGTGACCCATTGCACATCATCCCAAGGAGTTGTCCTCCTAGGTCATCGTCCATCGTGTCCTTTCCAGGGAGGTGGACAGATCCTTTGGAGACTTCTCCTTCATATCGGCAGGTGTAGGCCAAGACTCGCCGAACACACATTCTCTTATTGACGATAACTCCGGGCACTCGAATAGAACATGCCTGACAGTCTCATCTTCCTGTTCACACATGCTGCATACAATTGTGTCCATTAGCCCAATATCATGGAAGTATTTCCTTAGTTGACAGTGGCCCATCAGAAATTCTAACCAGGGTCGCCCAAGGTGATCCTGGCAAAAATTCATCCTTTTATTCCATCCCATGTCTTACATGATTGAGCATGGGTGTAAAATTTGGCTAGTTCCGCAATTGTTGAAGTCATCAAGCCGTAGGTGCCACTGGGTCCTAAAATTCTCAGTCCAGCCGCTTCCTTGGCTAAAGAGTCAGCAATGCGATTACTTCTTCATTGGAAATGAAAACATTATTATTAATATTATCATACTCAAATACAAATTAATATTATCATACTCAAATACAACGCACTTCCCGTTGCATTGTTGGGAACATTATTAGACGACGAAAGTTTCAGAATTTCAATAGGTATTCGTTTAGGATGTTTGATTTGTGTTAACCCCTTCAGACCTGATTTTTTGTCCTGCATAAAAAATCTTTTTTTTCATTCATTTATGGTTCAGAGGCATCAATGAAGTGAATTCATGCAAGTTTTGAAATTTTTTGGTGTACATCGTCCATCCTGTCCTTTTCAGGAAGATGGACAGATCTTTTGGAGACATCTCCTTCATATCGGCAGGTGTAGACTCGCCGAACATACACTCTCTTATTGACGATAACTCCGGGCACTCGCATAGAACATGCCTTACAGTCTCATCTTCCTGTTCACACATGCTGCATACAATTGTGTCCATTAGCCCAATATTATGGAAGTATTTCCTTAGTTGACAGTGGTCCATCAGAAATTCTATCCAGGGTCGCCCATGGTGATCCTGGTAAAAATTCATCCTTTTATTCCATCCCATGGGTGTAAAATTTGGCTAGTTCCGCAATTGTTGAAGTCATCAAGCCGTAGGTGCCACTGGGTCCTAAAATTCTTAGTCCAGCCGCTTCCTTGGCTGAAGAGTCGAAAATGCGAATACCTTCACTTCTGTCGTACCCTTCAACCCACCTCAGGATGAATTTATCATCTACCAAGGCTTTGGCTAAATCTTGGTGACACTCTAGTACTAGCCCTAGGTTATACATTATCTCTTCAAGGCTAATAGGGCTTGTCTGCTGTCAGTGCAGATTGTTATGTTTTTACCAGAAATTCCTTTCCTGGTTATTTCTTTCGTGGCGATTGAGATACCAGCCAGTTCTGTATGGACCACGCTGGTATTTTTTCCCATTCCCCACTTAATCCTTAGGCTTAGTGATCTGGAGTACACGCCACATCCTGAGCCTTCATTGGTGTTTGAGTCGTCAGTATTATGTTTTATTTGTATTTTGTAGGGTATATTTATAACACAAACCTGGGTTAAATTGCATCATTGGTTGCCTGCAGCGGAGGTTTTTCCCTAAGAAGTTCCCGCCTATGGCGGGCCAGGTCCAGCCTGTATTTTGACCCGTATTAATTTCTCTTCATCTTCCATATTCCTTCTATTCTTTATATGTTGTTGTTGATGAATATTCAAGTGACTAAAAAAATTCGAAAAACTGTGTGTTGTAGATTTATGTTTTAGGATTAGTTAGGTTAGTTTTTTATGTTATAACTTTTATTATAATATTCAAAATAGCAGGAGTTGAGTGATGGAGCACCCTCGGGTGAGATTTCTGAGTAGCGTGAGGCGAATAACATTTTATTCTTCATTGGAAATGAAAACATTATTATTAATATTATCATACTCAAATACAAATTAATATTATCATACTCAAATACAACGCACTTCCCGTTGCATTGTTGGGAACATTATTAGACGACGAAAGTTTCNGCAAAATGAAGACGTATTGAAACCCCAGGGAACGCGAGTTCCTTATTTGCTGTTCTACAGGAAAAGCGATATTTTCCTATCTAAATAAGGTTGCGTAGAGTTACGTAGAGTTCAGCGTCTGGAATCTTACGGAATTTCTCGTTTAAATTTTTATTGAAATCGATATTTTTTTTGGTTTTAATGAATTATTTCATTCTTTCATTAGTGATAGGTATTGTTCAATTTTTAATGTTAAATGTATATTTGATTTCGTTGGAACAAAAAAGTTATTTTTTTATTTTAATCACAGAATTGAATTGACATATAATTGATTTTCTTGTTATGTAATTCATTATAATATGTTAAACTTCCAGATGTTCAGAATTATCAGCGGCAAAATATGTATAACTGGGAAAAATGGTAAAAAGGTTTATTTCGACAGTTCGATTTCAGTGATTTCATTTGGCTGCAAAATTGCAATCAATAATTATAATTCATACAAACATAGTTTCCAATCAGTGGTTCCAGAATGACAGGAACCTTCAGTTGAAATTTGTTTCAGTTTTTTTTATTTTATTTTTTTCAGATCAACAAGAGATCACACCCACTCGAAGACAGACGAACACCACCGAACTGGATAATCCTCGAACATGGCTCGCTTTGTCTGTTCTGGAACTGACGATTTCTAAAGATAACCATGGTCGGATGTTGAGATGCGTGGCTGTCCACGAATCTTATCCGACTAAGTCTAGTACCATAGAAGTACGACTGGATGTTATGTGTAAGTATACTTGTAACTATTCGTATTTCAGAAACGTTTTGCACATATAAATAACAGTTATAAAAGCCTTGTTTTCTGCAGTTCAATGAAAGGAATTTTGGGTGCTGCTCCAACTGTTTCAAATTTTCAAATTAATGGTCCCTTCTAGAATTCGGATAAAGAGGATATTTGTCGTGTTTCTAGAGTCTTCCATACAAAATATTGCGTGACCCAACATTCTGTATCTTACCAAAGTTGATAGTGTAGGTCAACGCTTTGTTGTGCATGTGTGCAACACTTCTTGTTATTTTTTGTCACTTTTGTGATGAGTGATCCTAAACTTGAGAAGTCTTATAGTTTGACCAATGTACATCTGATTGTAATTTGCATATGTGGATTATCACACAGTTTTATGGGTTGTTGTAGTCTTGAAAAAGTGTGTTCAATCGTTAGGATGTTGTCGAACGCAATAGTGATTGTTGGAGACAATTTAAAAATGTTTTCAATTCAACAACGTTAAGTTAATTAGAATGGGAATAAAGTTATGTTTGGGCATAAGCCTATTGTCAATAGGTTTGGGAGAGTCTTTCTCTTTCTGAGCGGTGTGAAAAAGAAAAGGTTGGAAAGTGAATTATTGACAACCCGTTATTTGAAAATCATCATTGATGAGAGGGACAGTCTTTAGAAACTTTATAAATCCTTACATCAAGTTTCTTTGTAAGATAAGACTTTAGTGTAACTGCAAAGAACCTTTCAAAAAAGATTCTTTTAGATTTTCTGTTCCAGTATATGTTTTTTACTCAAATGGGTAAGGCAAAAGTTCCTCCACGTCAAATATAAAAAATTGTTGATACAATTTTGTGCAATAGAATTTGTGTGATTGAAGACTAGTTCACTTTATGGTAATTCACGATCACTCAAATGAAATGAATAAAAACACTTTCGTCTAAATACCACTGGTAAATTTTATTTATACGACCGGTTTCGGGTTTGACTACATTATCAAGTATAAAACTGAAATCTGAGTTTTGAAATATCGATTTTAATAGAATTTTCAGGTATGCTGCAAGGACAGGTATTTGAGAGATAGGATGCCAACTCAAAATACCACCCTGAAAATTCTAGGAGTTGTTAAACTCATAAATTCAAGAGAGGAGACCTACATAGATCAAGTTGCTCAATTAGGGGTATATGTTTCTGGTTTTTAATTGATTTGTTAGTTTCCATGGCCTCCAACAGAATCATTTCTTCCCTTTATTGCATACATGTAGGATTTTGAGGTTATATTCATTCATCTTGTGGTTTGATTCTTGAATATGTTCGTACATTGCAGATTTTTAGTCCAAACAGACGTGTTCACGCAGTCTCATGTCAAAACTCTACCGGTTTGACCTGTATATGTTCAAATTGTTTTTAAGGTACAATTTACGTTCAGAACTTTCATAAAAGGAATTGATTTTTGCTTTTTATGACAACCTGCTGATACGTGTCTATTTGATTTCGTAAAAAAGTAAGAATTACTTGTTTATTACGAGGATATTTTTTCGGGGGATAGGATTGTTTACCACCCTTACATTTTGGGTAAATTGAGTGGCACCTCCTTATGAAGGTTGCCTTTTGACGTGGATATTTTATGCTTCTGATGAAAAAGTGAATCATACTATCATACGAATACAACCTGCTGATTTCCTTGAATGCTGATGACACAGAAAACTTTAAAAAACTATTTAAGGGTTGATAAATCCCAATATTTGTTTTTAAAGCACACACAAAAAAAGGAACACCTAATAAGGGTAACTCACATAGGAAATTTAGAGTGAATGTTCAAAATGTGCGCCATTTTGCTCCATGCAACAATAAAGATTTTGTTCGAATTTTGCTCTTACATTATTCAACATCTCAGGAGTTATAGCTCGGCATTCATCAATAATTCTACGACGTAATTCATCCAAATTGGCTGGCTGTGTAGCATACACTTTAGACTTTAAATATCCCCACAAAAAGTAGTCCAGTGGTATTAAATCTGGTGATCGTGCTGGCCATTCAATTGGACCTCTTCTGCCAATCCATTGTCCTTAAAAATCATTACCTGCTGGGCATAATGGGGTGGTGCACCGTCTTGTTGAAAATGGATAAATTCATCTTGACATCTTGGATCCTGTTCAATTATTTCAACTATACGAGGTTGAATTGCCTCTTCAAGAGGTTGTAAATAAGAATCACGGGTTAAATTTCCATCAATGAAAAATGGACCTATAATATGATTGCCTAATATTCCGGCCCAGACATTCAACTTTTGGGGATGTTAGGTATGTATTTCTGCGTATTGTCTTGGGTTTCCATCCGACCAATAACGGCAATTGTGACGGTTCACGCAACCATTCAAATAAAATGAGCTTTCGTCCGAAAAACAGATGTTATAAAGCAGCTCGGGATTTTGCATTAATCTCTCACTCATGCCTTCACAAAACTCCTGTCTTCGGTCAAAATCATCCTCATTGAGTTCATGAACAAGTTTAATTTTGTAAGGATGGAATTTGTGGTTTTTAAGGATTCTCCATGCGCTCATATATGGCTTATCCCGGCCATTGCTGATAAACCTCTGGTACTTAACCTGGGATTGGCGATGACTTGACCAATCACTCCAATCGCATTATCGTCATTCACTACCATTCTCTGTGAATATAAATTTCCAAAATTTATATTGGGGCTGAAGTCGTGACTGTAAAATTTATTATGGTTGCCAAATGCGGATTTTTTCAGTTCTTTCAAGATGTTCGTTTATGCGAGTGATGAGAGGTATACAAGTTCAACCAATGTAAGATGCAGAACAATCAGAGCAGTCAAGCTTATATACTCCATTTCCATGAAACTTGCTAATTTCGTCTTCAAAATTTACTGGAAAGTTGTTCAAGTTATTGTGGGATTCAAATTAATTTTTTTTATGAAATTTTAGTACCAATTTCCTATCAATGGAACGTTGCTTGTTTCTTATTACATTCGAAAAAATCTACAAAATCATTCATCACCATGAAACAGGTGTTCACGAGCTGAATTGTCGCAAAAAGCACTTCAGTGACGTTTATTCAATTTCAAGAAACTTCTTGGCAACTTCTCGAAAGTTCCACAACTAGTTCATGCTTATAAAATCTTCCACACTTTGTTGAGACCATCTTAATCACATTATGTGACGGAAATCTGAATTCTCCCGGGGTTTATTTCAAAGTTCCTTTAATTAGCCACATTTTCATTTGGTGAGCAGATGCTTTTATTTTCCTTTTGTCATACGAAATGAAAACCATTTCCGGAGTAAAAAGTCTGTCTCATCTGCTCCCTCACAGTTATTTATGTTGAATTCGGGCAAAAGGACCAGATTAAACGAATTCGCGTAAAAAACTTTTGTGACAGTTCACATTCAAACGAATGTTAAGGAATCAGGAGGTTTTCATGCGAATGAACTTGTTTTCAGTCGTGAACAAAGAGACCGTTTTGGACATGACGAATTAAAACCCGCGGATTATTTTATGAAGTAAGTTTCGTTTCGTGGTCTCCTTTGACGTGGTTTTTATTATGGACTTTGAAATTCTTCAGTTGGGGAAACATGGTTTGTGGCAATGAATATTCTATTGAAATTTGTGACATCTTACGAGAAGGATTTGGAAAACTGGAAGACTTCCTTTTATATGAGAAGATAAAAAAAGATTCCTACCAATTGATGATTCTGCAATATATTTTGAAGTTATTTTCTTATAGTGTGTAAAATGGAATAAGTGGTATCTCAAAACTATGGCCATCAATAAAGATAATTCATCTATTCAAGAAACACTTCATTGCGAGATTTTTACTGAAGAGTTTTACAAAAACTCGACACATGTTCCGTTATGCAATAGATTTTTCTGGCGTGTATATACTAAGTAAAATGTACATATTCAATGCTTTATACATATATTCATAATTTCAAGTACCTTACTCTTTTCTGAATTCAAAGTAAGATAAAGGTACAAGTGCCATGACTAGCTGTGGATTATGCGGAGGAAAGAGCGTGGTTCGTTACTTGATTCTTTATAGAGGCTCAATGCTGGGTGCTGAAAAGGGTTACCAGATCCAAGTCCTTATTTGGGCGCCATCTACAGAAGTTTATAGATTAGTATAATAATGAAAAAGATATTAATTTTGAGATCCCAATAAACTTCTAGTAACTTTAAAATAAGAGAAACCTGTTGGTGAATCAGTCCTTGGAGTGTACTTCTTTTTTCCTTTGAGTTTGTTGCGAAATGTATATTCGAATACATTATAGTCCTTCAACGTGCCAGAAAGATTGCACTGATTCCAGAAGGTTGTCTTCTGTATGCGTTCCCTCTACTCTCTAATTTACCAATCTCTTCAGAGGTTTCCTTCATCAGGTGATATACTTCTGTGGCCAATTTTCTCAACGATTCCGTGTGTATCCCAGTCATAACAGGAGTAATCCATTGACAGAAAGGAAAAGGAAAATTGTCCTCTTACACCTTTCTCTGGTGCTACTATTTTCGAAAAATTGATGTGGATACTCTCTTCGTCGAAGTTTACAATTTAGAGTACTATCTCGTCTTCGATTTCTCTAGGATTGCGGCTTTTCTTGAAGTTGTGGTAGCGGAAGAGAAAGTCTTTCACAGTAACTGAAAAGAGTGAAGTTGATATTTTTTCCATTGGCATCCGATTAAGACACCCAGTGGTGTACTGTAGTAAAAAAAAGCAGAAGTATTAATTTTGGAATTTCAATAACTCTCTGTCTTGAAAAAACAGACTGCCTGATTCGACTGAAAATATTCTATGCATACAACTCAACTGTTTTCATTGTGGAAACATTTGTGTGCGACTCATCCAATAAACTTCAGCAGGAAAAAGAAGCGATCTTGTAATTTCCGACGATAGTTTTCTATTTTTTGTCATCATATTCACCCGAGCAAGCTCAAGTTGGATAGAAAGATTAAGCGATAACCATTATGCAGTTGGAGAATTTCCTAATAAAAACCCACACT